CTGCATTTACCGACAGCATTAAAAGGTTTGTTCATGATATCCCCAGAGGGAGTTCAAATGCATATTTTTAATTAATTTACCATACGATCGAATACTGTGAATTCTACATTAGCTACTTAATTGACAATTGCTGATTTATTTATGAATTCGACTCGTCGAGATACAATCTGTAAAATATACAGGGTGTTCGGCCTGGGAAAAATTTTAATGGGAGATTCTAGAGGCCAAAATAAAAAATCAAGAATATCAATTTCTTGACTTAGGCTCCATTAAAAAGTTGTTAAAAAATTTAAATAAAAAATTCCAAATCATTCTAGAAATATTATTTTCAGTTGCAGGGGTCAATTACAATCATTTTTTATGAATATACATACCCTCGAAAACCTAACCAGTTTCGAAAAAAAAATTTAATTGGATAAATTTTTCGACAAAATTAAAACATTTTAAATCGTTTTAAAAAAATTATTTTTAGTTGCAGAGGTCCATTGCAATAATTTTTGGTCAATAGATATACTCCCGAATTCCTAACCAGTTTCGAGAAAAAAATTCAATAAGTGGATCAATTTTCCGATGAAATTAAAAAATTTCCAATCGTTCTAAAAAAATTATTTTTGATTGCAGAGGTCAATTACAGTCATTTTTTGTGAATAGATATACACCTGAAATCCTAACCATTTTCTACAAAAAAATTCAGTACGGTCGGAACTTTAAACATTAATAACTTTTTAACGAAGCCTCCATCAACAAATTAGTATTCTTGATTTTCGTTTTATTTTGGCCTCTAGAATCTCCCATTAAAATTTTTCCCAAGGGTGGTTTAAAAAACTGCATCGAACAGTTTAATACAAATTACAGCTTCCTTTAGAAAAAGAATGCAGTTACATTTGTTAGATGCATCTGATCGTTTCAAAGATACAATTTTTCTCACTTGTGTTAGACACTCTGTATAATAGAAGAGATCTGTGACTATTAAAACCGAGTTTATTTGTTATTTTTAAGTTTAGAAAACACTCAATTTATCAAGGTGATACATCAAAATTTCGATCGTATTTAATTGAAAAATATTCGGCGAATAGATGGAGAAGGTAACAACACAGTGTTTATAGCTGATTACTATTTTTATTGCATTGAAATAAATAAAATAATACGCACGTTTGCAAGATCAGTGAAATTACTTCGGATGCATTGCTCGATACATCGAAGCCGCGTTGCGCGCGACAGTGTCTTTAATACTTCGCCTAGCCCTATTACAATTAAATAAATAAATAAATAAATAAATAACTTATAGAAAAATTCGGAGGGTACATAATTACGTTGAATACATCGAAACGTTTCACATCGATATCTTAGAACAACGCAAATCCGATTGCGAGAATCGCGTAATTAATATTAACGATCTTCTGTCGTTAGTACCAATTACTTGCATCGAAGTTATACGTCGATAATTGTTTCTCTCTATAATAATAATGTAATACGATCGTAAACTCTCTGTACAGAACAATAAATAAAATACATCACATAGTAAATTAAATAACGCGTTTCCGTGGAAATCCATTCGTAAGGATCAGAATAAATTAATTCGCTGGATGAACTGTCACCGAATTTTTGGAGACTGCTAAACATAGTAAACGGCAGTTCCTGAATCATTCGCTGGTTCGAGCTTTTAATGATTCGTCGTAAATGCAGATTCTTTTATCGAGGTTCGAAACAATAAAAAAAAGAGTCATTTACCAGCTTTTAGTATGATAGTTCGAGACTAAAAGTTTAAAATTATCGTGGAAATGTCGTAGCGTTTACTTTGAACTTTCTCAAAGGAAATGCCCACCACAATTCGGGAACCGCCGCGTTAAAAATAATGAAAAATAATGAAATGGAAATGCAACGAATCGCGTTCGAACGCTAAGTCGAAAGATTCTTTTAATACACTTATCTCGCAGCGGCTTAACGTCGTTGACATTGATTCACGGCCGAGCTTCTGAGAACAAGAGTCATGTAAATTATATAAAAGTTTCATAAGGTAATTATTTAACGTGGAGATAAGTATCAAGATGACTCAATTTTCAAGTACTTTAGATTCACATCGCTCTTATTCTCAGTGGTTCGATCGTCGCTATGTATGATTGTAATATTTCCTATACGATAACGATGCACAATTTGCCATTCGAGTCCGCGTTAATAATCGTTAGGCCACTGCCACCTAGCTCGCACGAAAATCTAATAAAATCTACAATCGAGATACCGAGTGTCGCGACATTAATTAAGAGATTATGATGTAGACCAGTAATTCTCAACCATAGCGTGTCGAATATCGTTACAATTCATTGGCATCGAGATCGAAAGACATTCAAATGAAAATGAACGAGACATTTTCGAGGAACCTATTACGTGTACGATCTAAATATCTAAATGTAAAAAAAAAGCTATGAAATAATTCGTTTTCGCGATGTACCAACGTTTTCCGTGGCAATGGTATCGCATTTGAGAATGACCAGTCTAGTCGCGTACAAAAAATAAATAATAAATTAAATTAACTAAATAAATTACTAGAAACACAGGATACGCGTTCGTGCAGGAACGAAGAGAAAGTTAAGAAATTGGCGCCAGCAGAAGAACACGTTCCAACGTGATATTTTTCAGGGGGGGGGGGCAATTGATTTTCTTCTGCGTTGTCTTCGTTGTGTTCTTTCATTCCTTGGTTAGTTACTTAGTATCCTAATTAGTGTAAGTTCGTTAAAGAGTTTAAGCTCGGACGGAGGACGGTCCGTAATACTGTTCAGGCGGCCTAGGGTCGAGAGATCATATATTTCCTTTCGTTCTTAAGCGTTTTGTTCTCTCGACTGTCTTCATTCTCGCCCTGTATCCAGCGTGACGAAGTGCTTCGAAATTAAATGTACTGGTACTCGTCGTCGATGCCTCGCCGGAACTCTTCAAATTTCTGCAATTAGAAAAAGGGATACACGGTTTAAAAGAGTTCACCTCGTATCGCACTTGTGTTCATTCGACACGTTCACCGCCATTTTGGAGAACAGTTGCGTGCCAAAGTGATTTTCACAAGACTTGAATATGGTACTAAATGATTGTAACTCATATACAGCCATGTATAGTCGAACGTTTTTTTATTTGTTATGTAACAAAAATATAACAAAAATTTGAGTAGAATTCAGTAAATCAAATAACATTTATCGTTACGTACGGTCGTTAGTGCTCGGTAAAAATCGTACAGAAAAATGAGATACAGTTTTAGAATATGCAATGTAAATTATTTGTTTCAATACCTTGTATTTTTTTAAATTTTTACGAAATTCAGGCGTTATTTTTGGAAAATTATTCTAAGGTTTGTAATATTATAGAATCTTATTTTTTTGTCCAATTCATTCCAAAGAATAAAAGTGGAGTGTGACTCGAGTTACTTGAACATCTCCTAACACGTTTATGCTTTGTTATTGTCGTCAATATACGGCTCATAGTTACATATCAAGCAGTCTTTCAATTATCATAATAGTGAAGTATATAATATAGTGAAATAGTGTTTCAGTATAATTGTATTTGATGCTTAATATTATTAATGTGCCTCTAGCTATGTATGTATTGATAGGACAACCAACAAACAAGAAAGAGAATCGCTTACGGGATAGCAAAGAGTATGAACGCGACAGTTTGACTTTAAATAAATAGATATTTCCATTATTCATTGTATCTCTGTTTTTGTCGTATGAACAACGATTACATTATAATAATGGTATATACATTTCTCATCCTTGCCTTTTAATCAAATTTATCAAAGTCTACATTCCTGTCTTCACAAAATATTTTCAAGTTATCAAATACAGGGTGTTTCAAAACGAGAGAACAGGAAGTTTCAAATTACTTGTGCAAAAACAAATCGAAAAGTTTTTTACAATTTCGTAATTCGAGGCTACATTTTCCAGATATAATTTAGTTTTTTATGAGACCTCTCTTTTTCTGCAGACCTCTATTTTATAATTATAAATAGTTAACAGACTCTATTGTAGTTTGTTGCATTTCAACTATTTTTTTATTTATTTTCTGAATACTTTAAAACTTTAATACTTTAATACTTTTAATACTTTAAAACAAAAGAACGTATTATATTTCCCAATTTTACAGTGTTATCAACAAATCACGATTTCTACTGACAGCTATGTTCCATACTTAACAACTTTTATTTAGCTTATTAAATATTACCAAAGCTTCTGTAATTTTTCTAACGTGTTAAACAAAAGAATACTAAACTATATGTTTGTATATGATTTTTAATCATTCGGTAAGATTTCCATTTATTTGCAACTGTTCCTTACATCGTTAATGCATTGCAAATCAGTTTTAATAATATTGGCTCTAAACTAACATCGAAATATTTTCTTTCCCTCAAACTCGTACAATTTTACGGAGCATAGGAAAATATCGAACCAAGGCGCATGCAAATTGGAATCGAAGGAAAAGTGCATAAATGATTGTATATAAATTGCGCGGCAAAATGTTGCATCATGAAAAAGCCACACGCTCTGCATAGAGTTCACGAAGTCGTCGGACGCGTGCCAGCGATTTCGTTAATTTTTATTTATTGAATAATTATCGCTATGATTTGCAATTAGCTAATAACGGAGAAACGGTACAAATCCTGAACGACTTGCGATTATCGATAAAAAATCTGCATCACGTGAATCGTTCGGAATTCTGACGACAGATTGCCCCGTGACTCGAACGACTCACATAATTACGTTGAAAACGGATACCATATTTAAACGATCGTTTTAGAGGATGCAAGTTGTTATCAGTAATTATACAATAACTTCTTCGATTTCGAATAAAATATTAAGTCCATTGCCAAATGAAAACACTTACAAATTGAAAGTTAAATTTCAAGAAACACAAATTTTAAACAGTACTAATTGTTTGTAAATCATTGGTTTAATTTTACAATTGATAGACACTTGTGATAAAATTAAATTAGATTTAAAAAATGTTGATAGTAAATGTCACTCTGGTTTATAGAGGATTAACTTTCTTTTGAATTCTAAATTTCGATCTCCGTATTTCTACAGAGTTCGAATTTAATTTTAAACGTTAATCTTATCACCAGATTTTTTATTAAAGTATAGAAATAAGCGAAGAAGGCTTACCGGTGGCAAGGGCAGTATCTTCTTTTTATCGACGAACATATCAGGATTGTTTGCTATAATTTGCATGATACGCTGCAGAGTCTCGAGTCTGTTGTTCGTGGCGGACCTTCGTCTACGACCTCTGAAATCAGAAAAGGGAGATCGGTTGAAAATAATGCGGCAAAGCATCGATCGATATCATTTTCTTTCTAACGAGACTTGCAAAGGAACATAAATATATTTTTTTGTTCTCACGTTACGTATTTTTCACATAATTATTATTGATTTCTTCCTCGGTTTATGGAAGAAAGGGTTATAGAACTGTTCAAATATATCTTCGAAATAATAGTTTATATAATAAAAAAGTTGCGTTTTTATACCTTTATATGCAAGCAACTATGAAAATTCGTATAAAGTCAAAAAGTTAAGGACAATGATTAAATTTAGAAAATGATTTCGAGTTAAAATGTTAAAAGGTGTTTTTCGGTACCTTTGATAGAAATAGCGTCAAGGGATGATTTTATACCGAATTTCGCATGAAAAGAAAATAAGTTTGTGCCACGGATGAATTACTCTACTAAATTTTTCAAAATTGACGATACCTTGATATCTTCAAGGTAGCTAACATACTTTGCGCCATGCGTTCGACCCGTGGAACGGAATATTCGCGCGAATAAGTCAGTTATTTCTTGTCGCTGTCTTTTCTATTGGTTTCCTCTTTTTTGAGGGGGCTTGGAAGGAGGGATGAACGCGTGGAATGGCGTCTCATACGATCACGCGTATCATACGTGTCGAAAGTAAGGAAAGGGTGACGCGTGCTGATAGAGTACTGTCGAGCGTGCAATCATTAATCATCAGGTTATTCTGTTACGAATTATTTAACGCGTATTTAACGTAACAGAACCTTTTGGTTTATCGTAGCTTCACATTGTATCATTTGTTGAACATAAGCGGTAAAAAAAAAGGTAAAACGTTACTGATTGGCTCAGTGGCGCCAATCGACTCGCGTACACTCACACACGCACCAACAAACTAAAAGGGGCGCAAATTCAGATCACTATTTTAACGCAGGCCTTATCGGTGGGAATGTATATCATCATGGATTCGTGGAAATTGTGTAAGTTCCGATGTAATCAGCGTAATTAACTTTAAGCTGACTAATGAGTCGATTCTCGAACTTCAGAATGTTAGCAATACGAGTCGAATTATTGGTACAAATTTGTTAGACGAAACACGTTCCTCGTTTATCTTGAATTTCGACTGTAAATTTTCTAACGTGCCAGGTTACTTCGAAAAATTGCCACGTACGAATGTATTAGCGTATGCTTAACTGCATTGAATTTTTATCGCGTTCCATTCTACAAGCAAAAAGAAGACACGCGTAGCAGACCTTAAAAATGTAAATTAGAGTATTTTTTAAAAGGATGGATTGTTTGGAATACGTTTGTAAAATGAGGCAAGTGTTTCTCATTGCGTTTCGCGCCAAAATTTGTATACACTATTACAAATTTTTTTATAAACCGTAAGAATTGTAGAACACGGTTACGTAATCAAGAAAATTGTGTGTAAAATTTGAGGAAGGTCCAGCTAACGTTTCTTTTTTTGTTAAACTCTCGAAGATGATTCATTTTTCGAAGCGCTGGAGTGAGATGACCTGTTGACCCCTTGACGCTAAGCTTTATATCTCGTACGATCCCAAGGTTTTCCACATATCGCCGTCGTTAATAAGAGATACGAATATAATGCAGCTAGCTGCTTGTACTGTCCCTTTGCCGAAATAAACGATATCGAATCATCGATCCCCTATTTTATTTACTTCGAACAATTGTCGACAATTTTATTTTATTTACAATAACATAGGTAGATTTAGAAAACTTCTTATCTAATCTCTTTTTGTTAAATTAGTTATAACTTCGAGCTGTAAAGATTTAACTTGTTTAAATGAGTAAAACAAACCTATAAAGATTACAAGGGTACAAGTTTCAAGATAAAAGTTATTTACGTTTTATTTTAAATTCATTTAGGCATATCCTCTAAAACAATGCTTTTGCAAGAATTAGTACAGAAACAATTTCGATATTCTACCTCCAAAAATCAAAGAGAAACATCATTCAAATTAATAATTAAAATTGACGTTCTAATTTATGTAATAAAATCGTTTATTATTTATATTTAATTATATATCTTCGAAGGGTTAACTATCGTACAGTGGATGCTGCAGGGTCATTTTGACCCAGGCGAAGCTGGCTCCATATTCTTCGTTCAAGTATGTGTAGGTGTTTACTCGGCAAAAGTAGAAGATATAGGAATATCTTGTTTTTAGTAGCTTTATATCAGTTATTGACGAATGTATGGAATTTTTAAAGTATTCCACATAGCCAGACAGCTCAATCTCTATTCAGCGACAGTCCTCGTACACATGTTATATGCAATTTAAAGTATACACGAAATTTTATGCACAATTTCTCATGGAAACCTACATAAAATAGAAATTCTATCATGGGTCAATATGACCCTGCATTCGTCTGTCCATCTCAAACCAACCACTCGACACGCGTAACAGTCTTTTACACGAAAACGAAAGTCCAGAAGGACTTTCAGTTTGTTTTGCTTTTCATCCACGTGTCTGAAAGAAACTGTTGAAATCGTTTCGCGGCTCACAATGGTTCCATCGGAGAAATACTCGCTCATTGTTTGAAAATGTTGAATTTTCCTTCGAAACGGGAAAGGTCAATCGGTATTCTCAGAAGGTTCCAGCGCTCCCTGTAACGTCCCTACTTGGCGAATCATGAAAACGAAGCGACGAAAACGGAAGGAAATTAAAGCGTGCGCAAATGTTGGCACACTGGAACTAGGATTTCCGAACATCTCGTTCCTCGCTCGTTTGACTTCGAGCGAATTTTCCATGGCGTGTAACGTCTGAATAGGAATTTATTCGGATGGCATTCAGAAAGGAGGTAATCAGGTTAGAGGTTCCATTACGTCGTCGCGTTTTCTATCCCCGTACGACGTGCACCATCTTTCTTTTTCCGCGAACCATACCGTCGCGATTATATTATTCAGTCTGCGTCGAATACTCGCGCGTTTCATCACCCCACAGTTGCCGACCATCGGTATACGTTCGTACGCCTTATAAATAAAATTTTCATGGTTTGCTTGTAAGCGAAGAACTTTTCACTTACTTCGTCAGGCGCGAACGAAAAACTTTTCACTTACTTCGTCCGTCGACGAGTTTTTACAAGTAATTTTAAAGAATATTTAAACGATCGTTATCCCTGTATTTTTAATCATTTCGATGCAAATTCGGGTTAAATTGACAGAGGATCGTTGAATGAATAACAATAATAACTAAATAATTGTATGTAATGTTGTATTCGTAAACTCTTCATATCATTGTTCATTTTTTCAAGTTCATTTATATACAGGTAACCCTCCTATAACACGGTAGATAGGTTCCTAGAAAATGCCGTGTTATATGAGACCCATAGCCAGTATAAAGAGGGGAGTTACGTTCCGAAAACTTATCAAAAACAAATATTTTTTTTTAATTCTACATAAGCAACTTTTTTATGAAAAATATAAATGTATGTATAACACAAAACAAACAATTATTTTAATTTAACGCAACCTTAATTTAGTAAATTATAATTTGTTTATATATATTGTCATGTAAAGACACTATAGTTCATTATTCCTTCGCGTCATTATTTTAAGTTAGTTTTTAAATATGTTAAGCAAAAATCATGTTATCCAGTGCTGTAGGAATACAGTGTTTTACAAAGATTTCCTCAATTTTTTTTATCGTGTTAAAACGAAACCGTGTTGTAGGAGCGTTACCTGTATTGTAAATGGTATAAAAAGTTTACAAATACAACATTTTTCATTCAACATGCTTCATTCTCGTACCATCGAGTAAAAGAAAATCATTTTGGAAGAAAAGTTAACGAGACGAGCAATGGTTGATATTTACTAGAGGTCCGTGACACCTCTGAGGTATCTTCTGGTTAGTAGGCCGTTATTTCTCGTTTCTTCCCACGTGATACGTGACCGTCCACCCCCTTGTTAACTCTAGACTTCTCCGTTTAGACCTTAGTCGATGACTGTATCAACCTTGTCATGCAGACGACGGTAGAACGAACAGGGCGAAAGCAACAAGTTGAATTTTAATGCCAGCCAGTTACTCCAACCCGGACGTGCGCTACATCTCGTACAGATTTTTTTTTTCTCGCCCCTTCCGACTGTTGGTTATGTAAGTTCGCTCCGGAGAAGCTCGAATTGGAATTCATCCACGCGGAAATCATTCGTGACAGACCGTGAAAATTGAAAAACTCGCGTGCCAGCGGTCAAAAATAGACGGCGTTTCTTGTACGTTCAGAGATTCCTGAACCCAGAATCAGACATTGCACTACGAGAATAACTATTTTTCTTTTTTAAATAGATCTTTATTCTCGGCACTGTGTTGTACGATGATGCAATGAATAATACTCTCTGTATACTTTCTGCCCGATGGATTCACGGTGGCGTTTATTCGCCGCGATCGAGGAATTCTTTTCCCGTAATATATGACTAGATTTTACACGGAGCTAAAAAATTCACTACTCCTCTTCGTTCCATTCCGTTTGATTAAAAATCGCTTTGTAGGATTCGAACAATTTCTCGATTTAGTACAAATTAATTTTATATTAGAGTACTATATATCTGATAAGTAGACCGTGGATCTTTATGCAGATTCACATTTTTATTGGCAGAGAATTAATGAAATGGGAGCTTTGTAGAGAGTTGTCTCAACCTCTAAATATAATAATTTGCATATTAAGTGTATTGTGTAGTTTTTTGAAAAATGATATAGTTCCTTGCGAAAAGATGATTAAACAGGGCCTAAAAATGTGCGTTTTACTATAGAATACGTCTTCAAATTCTACCTGCAAAGTCGGAATGCCTGTTTCGAACTTGAACATCGATCGTTGCATACAATCGACGGTAGTCTTCGATTTTATCGGTTACAGAGACTAACACCTTCGGTCACCGCACACACCCATCTCACAGAATTCCCACGGTCATTAAGCTTATCTCGTGCGAACGATAAGAAATCGATACTCGACGATAAGTATGAATATTAGCCGTAATTAGTACAGAAGAGAGATGCGCGCGATCGATTACAGTCGCGTTTGCAGACATTCTTTTCAGTTTCGGGTGAATCATCCAAAAAATTTTTTCTCGAGCGCGCAGATACCTCGTTCGTTTGTTCGACGCGTGCAGACGTGATTCGTAAACCCGTAAAGAGTCTGTGACTTCTAAGCACGTTTTCAAAGGCAATTAACAATCGTTAAATAGGGGGTTAGAAAAATAGTACAAAAATAGACTCGAAGATGTTAGATATGAAAGAATCGACGAAATTCTTCGCGCGACTCGATACTGACCGGAGGCCGTGTTATTCATCATATTTAGAGAAATTCAGATTAAAAAACGCGATAGCGGCGTAAGCGCGCCTTTTATCTGGGAATTTTTGCACCAACAGTAGGAAGAGGCGTTAATTTTGGACACTCCCGAGTCCGATAACGGCGAACAATAATTCAGCACCGATACGGGCTGACCTTAACGATATTACATAATTGGTCACTTACATTTTATCTGGATCCAACACGCCGAATGCAACCGGTACCGTCACTACTTTTCCCCTCACGTTTTCCAACCCCATCAGCGTTTCTATTTCGGCGAGCCTCTGATCTGAAACCCGCCTTCGCCTGCTGCAAATGCAATAATTATATATGAGCATCGTCGCACGAAATCTGTAACAGTGACGTTTATCTCAGCGAGTTACGTCGCGATAAAGTTGAATAAACTTGCGCGAGATACATCGCGGCTGATCTTGGAAAGTTCTACAGAGATCGTGCAAAAAACACTTAAGAGTACAAGTAGTTCCTTTCCCGTGCAATCCCTCGGTACATTTCCAGTCGAACTTTACGATTTGGCTTGATCGAAATACATAATGGCTGTATCGTTTTTATTTTTTTTTTGAATATATGTCGTTAGATACTCAATAATGACAGTTGCATTATACATCAAATATTTAAAATAGCTTTTTGAACTTGGAATAGTTAAACGCATGGGGCATTTCCCTATCTTCTTCGTATATCTGTATTTATCGAATTGGTGTCTATAATTAACTCAATTCGCTGAGAAAATAGATATGATACCGTTCGCGTATGAGTGAGAACTTAATCGTGCTTGGGGTCTTGTTTTTACTACATCTGTATTTAAGAAATAGTCGTCACTGATCGTTTCAATTCGTTGGAAATGTACGTATGAACAATTTTATTTAACGCGAAACCTCTTTCCAATTTCACAAAATTTAATAGACTTTTTCATTTTTGTACGCATATCTGCTTTTTTATACAAATGAAATTGTACGAGCTATTTATAATAAGAAAACAATTAGAAATAAAACTTAATTGAGATCCGTTTGTTCGCTACTACGATCGCGATGAAATTAAAAATTTATTTCTAAGGTAGACAATCATATAATGGCACAAAATTCTAAGGAGGCGTATATCTCGTTCATGCTTGCTTTTACATGCAAAACATTTATAATATAAATTATTATATTTTAGTAAGCATTTACTCAAATTGCGCTGTAAACGCTGAATTTCGTTTCATTTTTTATACTTCAATGTACATTTGTATCAATAAATATCTATAATCGATCTACATTTCATAAGGAAACACTAATTCGTGTAAAAGCTGCTAATCGTACAATTTTATATTACGTTTGCTTTACATGCTTTATATTCGCAAAATGCAGAGAAAGATTATACAAACATTTCAAACATATTATAATAATAAATCAGTGTCACGTCGTTGCAACAAATTTCTATTATGCTGTAAATGTTTCTGTTATTGCCTGAGAATCGAACGAAGATCGAAGAAGAAATAAAGAAAATTGTCAGGGTTACTGTAGGCCGTGTGCAGTTTTACAGTTTTATGATCCAAAAGTGAAACGATGACTAGACTAACACGATGTATAATTGCATCAGCGAGTAAACTTTCACAGACAGAATAAGCACGTGAAACATAGAGAAATCGATGTTACTAATCGTTTCCAAGAGATCGCTTGCGTCGTCTCGATTCATGAAAAATTTACTAAACGGATAACCTAGGCCCTCTTGTACTATACTTGCAATACTATTAGTGAAATTTCATAAGTTAAAGGCTACAAATATTAATAATTTTTCTTGCAGAATAGCAACAAGATTTCTAAAAATATACATAGAATTCTATGAATAAATGTCATAGGTTTTAAGTAATCTGTTTATACCTCACCCTGTTGCACACTGCTATTAACTATTCCGCTACATTCGAAACAAATTTTATAATTTGCTGGTAATTTTTTTTATTAAAAGCTTTTTTTTTTATTGGAAGCTTCTTTTTATATGAAAGATTTTTTATATATTTCCTTTACATATTTGCGTATATTGTTCATGATTGTAAATTTTGATACTTTCTTATGAGTCATGCATGCATAAACATCCACAGTTAGCTATGCAATTAGAGAATACAGTTGAAATAATCGTTCTAGTAATAAAAATTATTGCTCCTCCAAGATTTATACATACGAGCAAATCTTTGGAACTTCAATCGCATTTGTTGTGTAATTAATGATTGTAGAATGTACCAACAATATTAGTTTGTTTTACTTGTAACTGATAAAAGTGCAGAAGTCGATCTTGCAACAGAAATCTAGAAGGTACCTTCTGCAACTTGCAAAGTGACTAATATTATTAATTTTTTAGAATATTGTGCAGGTAGCCTATGGACGTTGTTCCTTGGACGATGCTTTTTAAATTTACTCACTCTCACTGATATTTAACCGATTCTCCACTAATTTGATATTGAAATATGGACGCGTTTATTCTACATTTCAAGTTCGTAGCAGCCTTATACCATCTGATACTTTTTGTTAATTTAATTAGTTTTTTAAAACACACAGAGTATAATGATTTTATGCTAATCGACATTTTTAGTAATCTCGATGCCATTGGACTGAATTCATAAATAATATGTACAAACATTTTTTTCTATCATTAATATATTCTTAAATGCTCTATTTTACACCAGTGATAATGTGTTCATTTAAAGTAAACTTAGATTTTTCAAAGTACGAAGAAATCTTAAAGTATTCAAGTAATTTACTAACGTTAGTTATTAGTTTCTTATCTTTGTTTTCGATCTTCGCAAAAATCTTATAGGCCTGTCGAAACATCAATAGGAGTATCTATAGATAAAGTCACTGTAAACGACACGACGAAGCATGACGGTGGAATCGCGCCTTTTCATATTGCAGTGAAAAATGTACGCGGGGATAGATATTGTGATCGGGCAAGCTGTATAGGATAATACTGTGTTTGTCGATCGTCGTTAATTTCGCCTCCTTGATCGACACTCTAATCTCCCGAGCGTTTGTGAGACAAAGCTGCCATTATCTCAGTTTAGAGCGTTATCCATATCTATGGGAGACCCATGCAAAAAAAGGAACGCGGCATTAATTCAAATCTGTCGATTCATCCCTTGTCGACTGTTCTTACTTTTATTTTATTTTTATCAGCCTTGACGAACGAATCGCAGTCTCGTCAACATATCGAACACGATATTAAGGGAGATGCAGCACCGATATAACAAAAGTTGCCGCAACGTTTCGTACACGAGACGATAAAGTATCGGTTCAGATAATAATCGCGACTGGAACTTAAAGCGCGACGAATGGGATTTTCCCTTTGGCTCGAAGGGAAAGTTTTGCATGCACAAAATGATATTGGTAATTGTTCTTGATCATTGCTCTGCTCTGAACAAAATGCCATCTGCACTTTAAAGAAAAAAAATGTAACTGTTTAATTTTGTTTGCAAAAATCCATTCTCTGCATCGTTGCTTGTACAAAGACTCGATATTTAAAGAAATATTTCATTCTCTTCTTTGCTCTGAAAAAATACTGTTTGCTGTTACCTGCGTTAAAATCACGCATCTATATCTTAATTAATCGTATTTCTTTCAAAATGAACATTTTCTGAATATCATATGTGCTCGTTATACCGATTCGTGAAAGTAAACACGTCCATCCATGAAAATTCAATTTGGCCAATTTGGGTGTCGAACAATTACACAATGTGATGAAAAATATGAGAAAACGGGTAAGAAAATGTTTAGAATATTGTAACGGAAAAACGTTCGAATATTTGTAATATTAAAAAAAAGATATGAGATCTAAAGTATTCAATTTTTCTATTTATACAAAATTAAAGTTTCCTTTAAAGAAAAAGTAAAATTGCACTCTGGAAATATTGTATTTTAGAGAAATGTTGTATCGTAGGGTAATGGAGGTTATTAAACCGTACAAAATTTTCCTATACGATTTTTTGCTATCTTCATTTAGACCGGAGCTATAGCCTGGCCCAGTTATTAGAATCATTCAATCTCGAAGTGTTCGAGAGTCGCGTGCACATCGTTTCTCTGTCGCGTGAAAGTGCCGCGATGATAGTGCAAGTCCTTTTTGTCATTTTACGCGGAAACGCAAGTAGAAAACGACTTCGAAACTAGGGGGATATTCGCTCCAAACTTTATCGATACCTCGGCGAAAAAACGTCGAAGTACATCTTCTGTATCTTTCGGTTGTTGGATTTGAAAAGTCACGTTCGTTTTCGCGGTACAGTTACGCGCAAGGACACTAGTCGCCAACTATTCACACGTGGTTATTTAAAATTGCTTAGAAATGGCTGAACGTAGCATGGAACTGTCGCTAAATCTCGCTTTGTTTTCGAATGTTGATGCAACGAATAAAACAAACTCCATTTTACGAAGCTTGACTGAAATATTTTTAACACGTTGACTGCCATGATGGTCACTGATAAACTTTTTTAAATAACGTTGCAGCCATTAGGGAATATATCTATTTTTCCATTAGAACATCTCTAGTCACTATGGTAAACGAAAAGATACATTTTCACGATCGATGGTCTGTTACGATTTGTATAATTCACTTTGGAGGGAATGTGTTACCTGAGAAAAGAGGGTGGCCTTGCGTATGTCGCTTCTGGCATCAAAACGACGACGAGGGCACAGAACGTCAGTAACGTGGCAAAGAGACTGATCCGCGCTCCTGTTGGACTTCCCATGTTCTTTATCGTTGCGAGCAACCGAATTGTACGAAACACCAACGGTGAATCTCCTGTTGAATCTCACGTGTACGATCTCCAACAACTTGGACACTTGAGCGGCACACTTGTTCGCGACCAATTAGCACTTATCCTGTTCGAGACGGGTCTAGCCGGTAGATCGCGTATCGCAGTTTATCTATCGTAATCGCGTTTTTGTACCGGATGGCTGGCCCTATCCTTGTCGCTTTTGTCTCTTGGTGAACTGTAGCGTACCGTCGTTCGCTTCGGGCATATATACTCGAAGGAGAGTGCCGCCTCCACTTCCCCACTCGGCTCCGTGGCTCATGCCCCACTCGACCGGATCCTCCCTCACTTTTATCTCTTTCCTAGACTTCGTCCCTTTTCCCTGTATTCACCTTCCTCTCCGGGGAACCGTATCGGCAATTAGGCGAGCAGGGTCTCGCCATCGCGTATCGTCCGGTCCGTGGCCGCGAAATCGCGCGGAAAGTTCGTCGGTCTTGGACGATCACGGTGCACTCGCGTGCCGTGACGAACTGTGCTCAAATTTTTGGGAGATCTTATCCTTACGGTTGGTTCTACACTTTTAACCAGAGTCATCTTTTTCTTTCGTTCATTCGTGCAACCGTACAAGACGAACTCGATAGGAAATTCGTACGTTGTTTGGCTCTATCGAGCAACCACCGTGGAATTATTTAACACCGTTCCACGGTACCTCCCTCACGACTTCCGATTGCCATTGCACTTTGCTCTTATCAGAACGAACATCTTCATACTTTAATGCCCATACATTTTATTTTTATACAATAAATTCTTCTTAACCTGTTGACGCTGGGCTCTGTGTCCCCATACGAGTTCTGAGTTTTTCGTATGCTGGCGGTATCGGTAAGAAACGCTGATTCATGCAATTGATTGCACTGTATCAATATAAACAACGATATTGCGATAGTATTTTATGTACAAATAACACAGGTGGATCAAATGTACAATAACTCAGGGAAGAGGATAAGACGAGTTTAGAAAGAATGCTAAGATTTATTTTTAAGACGAGAATTTGCATTTCTTTTTAAATTTAATTACATGTACCGTAGTAGTAACTCAAACACGTCTTCTGGTAGAATGTTGAGAGTTAGTAATTAAAAAACAAATATTGTAGAAATTGAGTGAATGTTCTCTGTGATAGATTATATCAAGTTTGTAATAAGATTTCTTAAGTGCTACTATACAATTATTGCTAGTATTCCTACTGGCGCCTCGTTGAGTTTTTATCACTTGTTTGCTATTATCGAAGGTTTAGCCTTTTACGGATTCATGATATGTTTGTCTTTTAGCGATTCCGATTTTCTATCGAAGAAAAATTGTGATGATATTACACATTGAGTATACTAGATGAAGAATAATATGTTCGTATTACACCGTATGATGTAAGTTCATTTTATCGGATCGGTGATTCAATGACTTCATACGCGTATAAAGATATTTTGCAAACAAAATTTTTCGAGGAATAATTGAGAATATGTCAGTACATGACATCGACATGAAACATACTACAAACAGTGTGAAAAATTGAATACTCGTTCAATCGTTTAAAATCTTAAAACCGTAGTCTGCTTAAACCTAAGATTTGAACCCAACAAAAAACGTTTGGGCATATGACAAAATATTGCAAAAATTTAGTATCGTGTTTCAGTTTTGCTCCTCCCTGTATATCAGAGTCAATTAAAAATGTTAATAGTTTCATTCGAACCCTGGTTGAGAGGAATTAGTTTTGAATGCAGATAGCCCACGCTTGACAGAAGGGTCTACCTTCTACCATAAGTTATTCGCGACGATCCCTCTTTAACATGCGAACGGAAGGTCTTTGCGATTTGTCAATGATACGCTGAAGGTGAATCTTCGCGATTTTTCAAACGGAATCCGGCGAGAAATGTTTCCGAAATCGCGAGTTCTTTTGCTTTTACTAGTCCGACTTGCAGTGATCGATTCTCTTAAGAATAAGAAAATAGAATGTTAATAACAGAGGCGTGTCTAAATAAGTACAAGAGATAGGGATTATTACAATACTTGCAACTGTTGAACAGAACTGGCGCGGATTAACAATATAATGATCGCTTACCTTCTGTAATACGAAGATATGCTTTCAAAATATTTGCAAATCCGATCGTGGGATGTTTTCGCTTTCCTTTCAAAGGTAGACTCACTCGTCCATTACAGAGATGCTTTCTTCATTATTAGTTTTAATCTCGTTATAACGTGTACTTAAAGTATCGTAAAGTCCTGCATCACCTTGTTTTATAATTTTTAATATAAACGCGTATTCTGCAAAGAATGACGTAAATGGTACATGGGTTAAAATAGTCGCATCAATAATATAACGTGGAATGCGGAGTTACAAATTAGTTGATTGTTCTTGCTTACAAACGAACAAATACTTCATTTGTCATATTTTACTTAGAACTGCAATCATTTTAATGAGGATGGAAACTTCTTTATTTTTCCTTTTTTATCTCGTTTCTATTACAGTCAAGTTGTACGATAATTACAAATTTTTCCGCTCTACTTAGTAGATCAACATCAATAATTCATTCTAGCAACAGTAGACAATAATTAAGATGGAACGTTTCGGTGTAGACTTAAGATTCCATCGAGTCACTCTTTTCGCGAGTTCGTACATAAATGATTAACACGTTGACTATCGAACAAGTTTTCCACGTTTAGAGATGTCCTCAACATTTATTCAAATTATAGTGTACCTACTAATTTACAACATTCCTAATAACAGTAAAATTATTTACAATTTTATAAGCGCTAAGGTTCTTCCATTGTAAACGATTTTACGACACGGTTATCAATGACCATCATGGCCGTCAACGTTTTAAAATAATAATTTCGCGATTATTTGCATGCAAAGTTGGCCAATCTCTTATAGTAAAGTGCAATTTTATTCTCAGACATCGCATATCAACGTCGGCTCATGTAACTGTGTTCAATGTAGGCATTTAAACGCAAAATGTTCCATTTACTTAAGCTTTTTTAGATTGCATCCACCACCAAAAATATATTTATAGTAATTGCGCAAATTTTATCTTTGGAACCTCGTTATATTTTAAGCAGTCCTTACCTATCGTAATAAGTCATAATCTGACGTTACAGTGGAAGTCCATTTATGCGAACCAAGTTTTAGTGAACGTCTCCTACGAACGAAAATGTCAACAAAACATGTATGCACTGTTGTAGTAATTGTGGAGGTACATCAGACATATCGATGTCCTTTATTGCCTAAATACAGTTAACAAATAGTTGAAAGTATGGCAGGAAGCAAATAACATTAATATACAGTGTTTGAAATATTTGAAGTATTCAGCATTTTTTTAAATTCTTGAATGAATATTATTAACAAAAACTAATATTTCATTACTTCATATTCAGTACTTCATATTTATTATATAATAAAAAGTGTTTAAAAAAATCCTCTCTAAACAAAATCTATTTGCTAAGCTTCATCAAGTGACTGTCCACAGAAATCAAGTTTATAAAGATTGAAAAATTAAAAATAGTGGGGATAATTAGTGAACTTCTATTATGTGAATTGTCTGTCCCCCATCGGGTTCATTTAAATGGAATTTCATTCTATTATTAACATTTTCATTTGCTTTACAAATACTGAAAATTATAAAAAGTAGTATTTACGCAACTAATAGCAAGAGCAACGAAAATATTATTGCCTAGATTTTTAACGCGACTGAATGTGAAAAATGAAACTATATTTCTCCATGAAGCTATGTTTATGAACATTCTTCGATTATTTTCATTCAACTACTATTTTCGGCGAAGTTTTTGGAAGAATCTAGCAACGGCGCAAGTCAAACTCTATATGCATAATTAAACACGTTCCGAAGAAGTAGTTTAAATATTTTTTTCGCGAACAAATCTGCTTCGAGAATACCGTCGCAGACGCGAGAAAAGAAAAGCTTCGTCGTACGAGTTTTTAAATCCTTGTATCGAGCATAACATAATTTTCTATCGCCTCCGCCACTCGATCGAACTTAAATCCACGAGCTTTGGGGATTTCGGGTGTACCGCAATGCTAGTCGCTTATAAATCGCAATCGTGTTACTCTGCTTTGTTCCTTTTTCGCGATCGATCGCGTTCCATTATTCTCGGCTGAGCGATGTATGGCGAACGATTAATAATATTCCACGGGGAAACCTTTGTGATTCATCCGCCAACAAATGGAACACGATCGACCTACAGTAGCCGAAATGATGATAGGTTCATCTTATTAGCACCGGATTTACCGTAGTTTCATAATATAAAGGTGCACTTTATTCAACATTTTTTATTCTATTTATTATAATTATACATTTTTGAGATAAGTAATTATATAATATAGTTTAGTTTAACGTATAAACTATGTGTTATAAATAACTGATGATAAATATAGGTTCAGTCTATATATTTTCATTAAATAATGAACAAATATTTGAGAAGGTAACAAAAGAATAACGCTAATACACAAAAACAAACAGAACTTAATATTCAGTAGATCCTCCTTTATTTTGTGTCACTTGAAATATTCTTTTAAACATCGACTCTATTAATTTACATAAAGTTTTCAATATCGATTTGAGACCACGCTTGACAGATGCCATTTTTCAGCTCATTTACGTTCAAATACTGTTTTCTATTGGCATAAACCTTTCTAGTTAAAATTCTTCAAAGATTTTCAATTGGATTCAGATTAGGGCTCCTTGAAGGCCAAGTTAAAACTCCACACATGAATTATCGCATTATCGCATTGAAAAATAAAATTTTGTCTAAAAAAAAACAAAGTCTAATATTTCTTGATATTTTTGAGCATTTGTCTTTGGCGGAAACCAAATTATTGGAGTTTTACCGTTATAATCAAATGCAACTCATATCATGACACTACCTCCCCCATAGTTGCGACTCATTTTTATTTCCTGTTCGTCGCGTAGGTCGGAGCCAGTAATATTGAA